GCAATCCAGGGTCAGCTCCCCTTTTAAACCTTAAAAAGTTTAAAAAAAAAAAAAAAAAGTGTTAGGAAAAACATAATACTAAAGATCATACTACAGGACAATTTATTTGCTGTTAGATTTAACTATATATTATGCACAGGCAAGTAACATGCCAACTCTTGTAATAGGACATGAAGTGCTATTTTATGCATAAAAGTCATAAAAAAAAGTGCTGCTACAAGCACTCAAATTATGTAGTAAAATCTGTTTCTTACTGAAGCCAGAAGACCAGAAATTAGTCAAGCACAAAAGGAATTGTAAAGATTTACTGGGCCCATACACACCTATAAATTGAGGTAACACATGACAACACACCATACATGCATTAGTGCATTGGTCCATCCATTTTCAATGGCATCCCAACGCACTTGGATAACACACCTGCTTTGCAGTGCACTACCACATGTGATGCGCTGTGTCCCAAAAAAAAGGTGCATGTTCTTTTTCTGGTCCACTGTGCTGCATCAAAAGCCCATTCAGAAAAAATAGGATGCTTTAGCGCACACCAGACCGGAAAAGATGTAAATGGACCCTTTTTGCCTTGCCAAGCCAATGAACAGGCATATCTAGCATACCTATCTAATATATTGGACACCTGAACACAAAATGCATCTTGGCAAGACTGTTCGCTACGAATGTTAGCGATAACTACATTTAAAGAATGTTGGTTTGAGACCTCTAACTCCAGCAAACAGACATAAACAGACAGAATTCACTAAACACTTTTCCACTTTTCTTAAAAAAAATATATTCCTCTTGAAGTCTCAAATACATAAATTATTATTTTTTTTAAACTTTCTGATCATCATTTTAAGAGGTTTTTCTTACGGTTCTGCCCTATGTCTTTATTCTAGTCTAGTCCATTCAAATTTCTGCCAATGGCATTCTGTACACTGTTACTATTTGTGACATCACACGCATCTGAATGTGCATTTGCCAAATACTGTGACAAAAACTAAGCATACTTTGTTTCTGCAGAAATGGGCCGTCAGCTCCAAATTACAGGAAAATTACAGAAGCAATACCACAGGTTTCTCATAGATGAAAACTTTAAAAAGAGATTTTAAACCTATAAACTCTTAGAAGGTACATGACCTACAAGGGGTCAGCGATGACAATTAGGGGATACCTGACCTAATCTGAGTATACAGACTGCACAATCTCACTTAGATTTATCAAAACTGGATACCAATTTGTATACAATTAGACAGATCTTTGCACATTACAGTTGTTTGTAGAGCTAAAGAAGAATATCCATGTTGTGAGATCTCCTAAACAATCCAGTCAATTTAAATCCAAGTAGGCTGACAGAAGTGCTATAAAATATGAAGATGAAAATATGTCAATCTGAAAAAGATTACAATACAGTGACATAGTGGTGAGCACTTCTGCCTTGCTGCACTGGGGTTCCCAGTTAAAATCCTGGTCAGGACACTATCTGCAAGGAGTTTGCATGTACTCTCTGTGCTTGTGTGAGTTCCCTCCATGTACTCTGGTTTCCTCCCACACTCCAAAAGACATGCTGGAAGGTTAATGGGCTCCTCTCTAAATCGGCCCTTGTATGTATGCATGTGAGATAGGGACCTTAGATTGTAAGCTCCTTGGGAGCAGGGACCGATGTGAGTGTGCACTGTGTAAAGCACTGTGTAAATTGTCAGCGCTATATAAATACCAATAATAAATAAAATGGGTATGGCCACCTTTTGAAATACGCCAGCTATGCTGTCACAACTGACTTGATGAATAACAGATAAGTTGTCATAATGCAAGTAATGCTCTCACTTCCTCTGTATGAGATTACAGAGCGTGGATAAAACAAGGATGACGTTATGATGCACGCTTTGTACACACACAGAACGACAAATGCTGTGAAAACTTCCTCTGTAGTATAATGAAACAGTTCTTGAGTCAAAACCACGTCATCTACTATGAAACCACAGACTTCTGGGAAAACGCTACCAGCACTGAAGAAACCATTATGTACCTTTTCAGCCAATCCATAATATTAAGGATATCTAGAAGCCAACTGTGACACTGTTAGAAAGATTTAAGTCAAGCATGGCAAATTTAGGACAAAAAGCTATTTAGGTGACAAATAACACTGGAAAAAGAGAAGTGGTTTTTTTTTTAAAACGCTTGCTGTCCGCCCATTGTAAATAAACAGACGGACGGGAATCTCCCATCAGCGGGTGGACGTTACCGTATATCTTTTTTCAGAATCCCGCAGCTGTTCCATACAAGCATTCAGAACGAACAGTGTGCGCTCCCTCCCCTGCGGGTTATCCCGGACAAAGCTGTCCCCGTCTGCGGGCCCGGCACAGTGGCTGCTGACACTGTAAACGGAGCAGATCAGCACTCTCCCACTGCTGATCTCTCCTGCATTGCCTGAAGGCGGAAGCGATGTCCATTACATCACTTCCGCCTTTAGCTGTCATTTCTCTGGCTGCTATAGCCAGTGAAGAAGTCAATGAAGCTGATCTCTGCTTCATCAGCTTCTTTGAGGGTCCCTAGGTGACATGATGTCTTCATAAAGAGGACCTGTCACTGTATGTGTTCTATCAAATAGGGAGCTTGTTATCCCCCATGTGAAAGCAAAATTAAGTGTAAAAAAAAAAAAAATCCCCCGCGTGCATGTGCACACATATTACCACGAATGTCGGAGTGAGAGCAATAAGTCTAGGGCGATTAATCACTGATAACACTAAATTGATTAGCGGTAAAAGTTTTGGCTATTTTGGGGGCGCGCGCAACTTTAAAGCTTGACATGTTTGGTGTCCATTTACCCAACGTGACCTCATCCTTTAGGTTTCACCCAAAAATTGGGTAATAATGTTTTATAACAACGTAGGGAAAACAGGTTTTGTTTTCAAAATTGTCAGTACTTTTTTCATTATTCATTATAAAAAATAAAAACCCCAGTGGTGATTAAATACGACCAAAGGAAACCATTATATGTCCCCAAAAATGGTATAAAATTCATTTCAGTACAGCGTTGCATGACTGAATAAACGTCAAACTACCGCAGCGCTGAATACTGAAAATTGGCCTGGACAGGAAGGGGGTTTAACACCGCGGTCAGCAAGTGGTTTACTCGATATCCTCCATATTAGTAAAACAACTGAAGTGTAAAGCATGTGACGCACGGCATTTGAAGCAGCGCGAACATTCTTGTGCAGGGTGTCATGCCATTTTCACGCCGGCACATCAGCTTGCGAGAGCTTGCATAGTTGAGAGTTCCGAGAAAAAAAATGTCATCTTCCGCCCATCGGCTCGTGTGTATAAACCCGTGCGTCAGGATGCGTAGTCCATTCGGTTGTTACGTGCAAGCCAATTGGCTAAAGATGCGGCCTTTCATCTGGCCGCACTGCTCTCACTCAATGCATGCGAACCTCGCTTTAGTATAATGACTCAGATCTCTGTAGACTCCAGTGGGTGTAATCATTCATTAGTCTGCGAAAAGTTGGAGGCCCTTTGCTGGTCCCCC